CAGCAAGAGTGATAGGTATATTAGATGGAATATTATTTTGATTTGCTGTGGTTGGTCCTGCTACATTGTGAGGTAAAATATTTAGGCTAGTCAACAATTTACAAAGACTTGTTTCGACCATTTTTTGAATTTCATTATAGTCAACAGAAGTAGTTAAATTTGATGGTAAATTACAGTTATTATCCTGGGAAGTTTCCCGGTTTCGTGTTGAATAAGTAAGTGTCATACCTACAGCGCCTTGCATTTCTACGCTATAATCAAGCAAGTTGCTTGGCTCTTGGAAAAGGTTCCTTTTTGCATTTCTGGTGTTGTAGTGCTTAGACATCGCACCAAGACCTTTACCTCTCTGAGCTGGTTTAGTTGGAAGTTTGGACCCTATGGATACCATTCGTAGATCAGATAATAAACACGAGATTTTACGTGAAGGACATTCTGAAGTTGAATCCAAGTGACCTTCAATGCAATTCCTGTGAAAGGTATGAGAGCATTGGTTTAATGATAAGCATTCTTGACCTACAAACAAGGGTTCTTGGCAAATATTACAGATTGAAGAATCATTCATAGTTGCTTCAGTATTGTCTACTGGTGCAATATTCAAAGATATTGATGGTGTCCGGTCCATTGATTGATTGTATAAAATTGAATAAAAAAGTTAATAACAGGTGAAAATCTTGGTTAAATTCTGATATAACCATAAAATAATTCAAGAAAACAATAATTCATTCGATTGGTGTTTCATTCCCATCGTGTAATGTGGTTTTCTCGTCGGCTGAGGTAAGCTCAGCTGTATCCAGGGTCTCCATAAGGACCCACTAAACCTTATGAAATAATAAGAGTAGATTTCTTCCTTTCCTGGGGTAAAAATCGGATGTTTTATTGATCTTTAATTTTAAATTACAATCTACTCGGGTTGAAATACGATAAGATAAATATGGAATATAGTATGGCAAATTGACTTCGGAAATGTTCGTGATTTCAAGGTACTGATGCTTAGTTGATGATCGGGAATTCGATGTTAACTTGTATCGTAGGCAGGAGGGTGTTAGACTCGTGGATAATCGAGAACGATGATGAATTACGGTGTTGCGTTCGGGTGACGCTTACGTTGACGATTTGAAGGTAATCGGGAACTTGTGTTCGTCGGTTGTCTACGATAAGGAATTACGATGATTGTGTTCGGGTGATGCGTTCTGTTGACGATTTGACGGTAATCGGCAACTTGTTGACGATTTGAAGGTAATCGGGAACTTGTGTTCGTCGGTTGTCTACGATAAGGAATTACGATGATTGTGTTCGGGTGATGCGTTCTGTTGACGATTTGACGGTAATCGGGAATTTGTTGACGATTTGAACGTAATCGGGAACTTGTGGTCGTCGGTTGTCGGGGCTCGTTCGGGTTCGGCAGCTCATTGAGGATAGATTCGGCAACCGATGCGTTACGGTTTGTAGATGGATCGTGGCTCGTTCGGCAGCTCGGGTTTATGTTATTCGGGTCGGCTACAGGGGCGAGGTAACTAGCCTAGCTACGATTCTATAACTACGTCTACTCCACTACCAACGTTTGACTATAATACGGAACAGCGAGCCGAAACTCCTGTGGAACAGCGAGCCGAAACTCCTGTGGAACAGCGAGCCGAAGTTCCTGTGGAACAGCGAGCCGAAACTCCTGTGGGACAGCGAGCCGAAGCTCCTGTGGAACAGCGAACCGAAGTTCCTGTGGAACAGCGAGCCGAAACTCCTGTGTATATGAATTACTAGCCACTCAACTTAATGAGAGCAAGTCTTGGAAAAGTATTCCCGAAGGAGGACAGCCGATGATCTTTAGAAAATCACGAGTTACCCTTTGGCAAGCTCCTGCAGTAGCAAGCCTTCCTTTATCGCACCTCAAACCGAACACTATATGTGACCGGTTCTACCAAGTCATTGCGAATTTTTAGCCTTACGCTGTGAGCAGCACACCAACGAAAACTACTTTGTTCACAACGCGCCCAATGAATGCTGCGTTTGTTGGCTAGTGCTGTTGTCGCCTTGTTGACTGCGTATGACCGAGTCGTGTGTGCATGGTGGTGGTGGTTGGTTGGTGCTGTTAGCGTCGCACTTGCAGTGGCCGCTGTTGTTGTTCTCATTGTGTAATAGGTGCGGTTGTTTGTTCGTATAAATGTACGTAATGAAATCAGCACGTGACAATCGGTTCTGGAAAAGATGATAATAAGGCTTGTTTAAAAGGATATAGAGGTACAAATTGGACTATGGAAGTACAATACAATTACTTTCATTATAAGTCAAATCTAACCAGTCGAAATATTTATCACCTTATTGCATATTTCCTTATTAGGTAGCGGATAAGAACTCGCAAAATCAGCATGATCTTATATTCCTGCTTTCCAACAAGCACTAGCAACCCAGTTTTAAAGTATAATGAAGATAGCTGTAAAGTACTTAAACAAAATGTCGTCAACTACCTAAATTTGATTACAAGCGAAAAGAATATGTATCATAAATCCGGGCGGTTAGTTCACTCGTTAGATCTTCATCAAGTCACTATTGTCCTGAACGGCAACAATATATAACTTTTACAACTCATGATCACTTTAGTGAGTTAAGAACATTAGGTTTATTGTATGAAATCTATACGGTAAACTATTGTGTGAGCAAAGGACAAAAACTATTCATTCCTATTTACTTACGAAGTTCTGAGAACCTAATCTGGAGCCAGAAATCTAAATTCCGAAAAGGCAAGTTTTTACCTTAAGAGTCCCAAATGGAACTGTAAAAAATGTTTTTGTTCTTCATGCCCACGTTGGGCGCCATCTTCTACTATGTAACGTACCAACTACTCTCGATTATTAATCCTAAGAAGTTCGACTAAAAATCTCTATTGAATAAGGACGTAGGAGCCATTAATAGGGCTAGCAAGCAGTGGTTGGGGAGGTTCGGGTCCTTTCCAAGAGGAATAACTGTGGGTACGACACAATAGAATATTATGTAGACTCCTGTTTTTTATATACATAAAAAATCTATGATATTGGCCATAATAAAATAACAAATTCTCAGTTATTGCTAACCTTTTCTTCTTAAAAAAAATCCTTCTAAGCTGCCTATTTTGTTAATGGTTCCCGAGGTGATTTTGGGAACCTTGCCTCTTAACCCTCCCTGCCATTGGTTCTTCAGGCAATATAAAATAAAGAACCCCTAATATAGATTCGTTAAAAAGTTATCACATTATCATCCTACCATGGCCGGAGCGAAAAGAAACACCCATAAAAAAAGACAGAGTACATGATTCTAACAACTAATATTAAAGTATTTATAAAAAAAATCATGTTATTTGCTAACGAAATTGGAGTATTATTCCTTATTCATAAGCAAAAATAATATTGTCCCAAATTAACAATCTAATAACTTAAAATAGAAAATCTCTTTTCAAGTTGAATTATTCATTAGAATTTCCAAAGAAACAAATCAGAAATGTGTTGCAAATTATCTTTACACAACTATCATCATTAAATCACATAAAAAACCAAAGCATAAGTAAAGAAAGGTATTACAATATCTCACCAAATTAATGTTGATACATCGGCGTGAAGAGGACCCTTTTCAGCTGGAGATGGTGGAATTATAATTTCTTGGCAAATATGTGGTTAAATGATGATGAAACAAATTAACTGAATTTTAATATATTTAGTTAGTAGTTACGATTAAAACGTATTTGAGGTAATTTAAGCCATTGAGCTGGGCAAATGAAGCAAAATGAAGCTTCTTAATATTATTAATATTTGCTTGGTTTGAAGAAACAGTGATCTGTAGCGATATGATGACGATTTGATTTGAATCGATGATCACTCTGTTCGTAATGACGATCTTTGTGCTGGTCTCTTACAATGCAAATAATATTGTTGTTGCTAGGCAGTCGAAGAGGAACTTGGGCAGCAAGTGTATTTTATGACCTTTGTTGTTTTTGTCGTCAGGCGACCAGTTGAAGTACTTTTTGTGCACACAGTTTTGCAGAGGAGTGTGGTTGTCGCTGACTTAGAATAGACGGTAGACGAATTTTTGATGAATCGATCTCTTTTTGTTGTTGTTTTTTTTTTTTCTGTACCAAACTGACCTACGTTAATGATTCCGATTACAACTGGTTAGGTATGAGCTGCATCTATCTATGTATGAGCTGCATCTACTATCCAAAAGGGTGTAATTTTAGCATTACCAGTTTTAAAATATCATCAAGAGGTGCAAAATAAGGGTGGTTGAGGTTGAAGTTCCAATATTAAATTTTTTTCTGGCTGAATAAGCTTATGTGATTGGGACCGAGAACTGCTTGATATTTCGTTTTCCCTTGTCCCAAGTCCCACAATTTTCCGAAAAAAGACAAGGTTTTCTATAAATAAATACTCACTAAATCACTTTTTGCACTTATTATATGAAGGAAATACTTATGTCCACCAATGCCATTAGCACGATGGTATTAGTGCCTTTATAGTTGTGGAAGTAGGCTCCATCAGATCTCTAAGGTCGGAAAGTGATGTGCTTTCCATCCAAAGGACCTAGGCAATTGGGAAATTGCCATTTGATGGTGAATTGTTTGGATATCGCCTCCCATTCTAATACATTGTCTGGAAACTATGAGTAGAATTAAAAAAGCATGCATACATACATATTTTTATATATAAATCGATTCAAAGAAAAGTAGTAGTTTTCTCACACTGCGGCATCACCATTTTTCATATCAGTTACACATATCCATTTTACTCTAAAGATTTGAGTGCCTGATGCGAAACACAAACGAAAGAATATTGATTTACTCTCGGAGGTAAAGATGTAGCACTTGTCATTAAGAACAAAAATATGAACACAAACTCCATCAAACTTAATCTTTAGGGTCAAAATCATTAAGCTCGACTTTCTTATACAATTGTTCTGGGTTTGAGTCCACATAAAATTCAAGAAAACAATTAACTACAAATTTGCAAAAAAATGAACAAGAGTACGTTATATTTCAGGTAACGCTGATATAAGGACAAGCGGTTATAGAAAAAAATTTAATTCTGCAAGAATCTATTGGTTATCGTTGTAAAATTCTGGCAGCTCAGGAACAGACCATATGCCGGGTGAGACGGCTGTCACTCGCCCGACAGCTGTTAAAATTGTTCCAGTTACAGCACATTATATTGTTCACAAGCGTACAAAAGCATTTTGGTGAGCATTTTCCAGAAAAAAAGTTATTCGTGATGGAATTCTTTATATTTGGCTGAAAAACCACAAGTTCATATCGTTAGAGCACTCCAGCATTTAAATGTGAATAAATCTTTTGTGTCTCGTACCATCGCTCGTTACCTTGATACTTGTAGCGTAGCCCGACGTCAAGGAAGTGGACGTAAGAAAACAGCAACATCAGCAGAAATGGTTCGAAAAGTAAAGAAGCGACTTGAAACCCGCGAAGCAGACTAAAGAGCTAAAGAGGTGCTTCGCTTGGCCAAACGTGGTGGACTGCCGAATTTGGTTTTCTCCGATGAGAAAACATTCATTGTCCCGCAGTTTGTAAAAAACGAAATTATCGTGTTTACTTGCCAATGAGGTCAGCCGAAAATATGCACCTTCGGTTGGCCACCAGAACTCAAGCGCCGTCCATGGTGATGGTGTGGGCCGCCATAACAGCCGATAGTACATCTCCGCTTGTATTAATCGACCGTGGCATCAGAATAAATTCCGAATATTTTCGCGAAAATATTTTGGAGAGTGTATAAAAACCTTGGGCACGCAAACATTTTGGCCGCAGACCTTGGACATTCCAACAGGACTCAGCACCATCGCACTCAGCATGCGCCATCCAAGAATGGTTACAAAATGAGATTCATCGCTTCATTTCCAGCGCACAATGGCCACCAAAATCTCCGGATACCAATCCGTTGTACTATTTTGTCTGGAGTATTGTGAAAAGTAAGTTTGCCACTAAAATATACCAAAGTGTCGATAACCTCTAGCGAGCGCTTCGCCGAGTGTTCATATGAACAGAAATAGTGTAATCTTACTATATGGATTGCTATTGATTTCGAATAATATAGAATCTTGTATGTTTATGACAAATGTTTATGTTCAGCGATAAGATGTGTTTATAGGAAAAGAGTTTATGTTTATGTGTAATGATAAGTGCTTGAGTAATATATGACCAAACGCTAATGCATTGTAAAGTATGAAAAAATTCGAAAGGAAATAAAATCTTTTTGCTGATAATAAAGAATTTGAAAATTACCACACACAAAGATAGCAATGCAGTCATTGATAGCATAAAGAAATACCACCTCCTGCGTTGGGACAAAACAACCCCTGTTTGCATTGATGATATGCATTATTAGAACTGACTGTTAGATTAGTGCAAGATAAAAAATTGTGAAATAAAATCAGAATCGAAACATCCGAACGTAAAGGTTGTTCTTTCCTTCCCAACTAAACATTGGTCCTTCGATAATAAGAACCAGCGGCCGTATAACAAAGACTACAGGGGCAAAAAAAAGAAAAAAAAAAAAAAAATATATATATATATATATATATATATATATATATATATATATATATATATATATATATATATATATTTATATATATATAACATTAAGAATAAATGTCGAGCAGTCCTATTTCAATTTAGGAAAAAAGTTAATAAGCTGAATGAAGCGTTAGAAACCGTGTTGGTTGGCGTTACTAGATACACTTTGGAGTATATGAAGACCTCATGGGACCTCGAGTATGAAGAGATTGAAAACAATTTTGAGAAGAAGGTGCAGGATGTTATAAAACGGATAGACGAGGTTCAAGACAATAAAATGGCTGTGTATCTACAACGTGTACAAATACCATGTTTTTCTGGTAAAGGGAAGAATGGAGTTCCTTCCACGACTTGTTTAAAAAATTGATCGACATAAACTCCAAGCTGTCAGAGGTACAAAAACTATATTACCTAAAGACGAATTTGAAAGGAGTTTCGTTTCGTGTAGTGCAAAACCTGCAAGTGACAGAATCAAATTATAAAGGCAACAAAAGGATTCTATTCACAAAATTAGTGGATAGAATTCTTGACCATCCGAATATTAACAGCCAGTCAGCATCAAATATAAAACGTTTACTAGATAACGTGAATGAAAGTATGCAGGCCATAAAAGCGATGGATATTCCATTGGATCATGCTGACCTAATTTTGTCAGGAATAATAATACGAAAGAAATGTGAAGAAGTCAAAAGATATCCAGAAACTATCCGATGTTATAAATTTTCTGGGACAACAATACCAAGCACTGGATGCATCAACAAGCAGAAAACATTTCAATATGGGAACATACAAGCAACAAGAAAGATCGACAGATGTGGCGGAGAAAAAATTATGCAAGTTTTGCAGGACATGAGATTGCATATTGCAGAAAATTTTCGTCATTGGATTCGCGGCAAATATACGATTGGGCAATCATCATGGAATGGAAAAAAATGCTACAGATTGGCAAAGTCAAAGGTGACGGTGGAGATTCGACCGAGATTTGTAAGCAGTGCTAAAATTGTAGCCGAGGCGTTAGTTCTTCCAACACTAGCTTCAGCGCATCCAGACCTGAGTTTCCAATCTGATGTGGAGAAATGGAAGAACGTAAATCTGGCAGATCCAGATTTCAACAAGCCAGAGATATTGGAAGAAGGAGTTCGACATGATGAGCAAATTCTGGGACAAAACACCAAATTGGGCTGAATCCTTTCTGGAAGAATTTTAGTGAAGCCAAGTAATAATAAAAGTTCTGCGGCCAGAACCACAATTGAGCGGTTTTGGGAGATAGAGGAAATTGCAGATGAACAAACCGTCGAGGAAAATGACTTTTGTCTTAAGTTATACGAAGAGACAACACAGGCAGATTCATCGTTCGCTTGCCATTTACTGAAGAAAAGTATTTAGGAGAATCATACAATAGAGCAATGGCAGGATATTTAAGCTTGGAAAAAAGGTTAGAAGAGAGTACGGAGTTAAACATGGAGTATGAGAAAACGATTAACGAACTCATATCAATGAAACATCAAGCAGTATTAAGAGAAACTAGTCTAACCACAAAAATGAGGGTGGTATTTGATGCTTCGGCGAAAATATCGAATAGGAAGGCCTAGAAGACATCCTGCACGTAGGGCCTAAGCTTCAAAAATATATTTTTGACATCATTACAAATCATCATTCCATTACGTGAAATTTTGTCATCTCTGCAGATGTCGAGAAATTGTTTAGGCAGATAAAAGTAGCAGAGCAAGATCAGGATTACCAATATATGCTTTGGAGGAGTTGTAAGTCCGAGCCAATTCGACAGTATAAACTTACCACAGTTACATTCGGAACCGCTTCAGCACCATTTCTAGCAGTAAAAGCTCTAATAGAAATTGGAAATAGATGTAAAGATCAGAAAATTGCGAAAAGAATCAAGGAGGATTTCTACATGGATGAATTACTAACTGAAGCAGATACAGAAAAGGCGGTCGGAGAATAACGAAGTGCTGCATATTCAAGAAGATGAGTGTTCAAAAACACTAGGGCTGCAATGGAATCCGACAAGGGATTGTTTTACATTTAATATGCAGATCAACAATGAAGACAAAATAACCAAACGATTAGCGTTGTCGTACCTGGCAAAGGTTTTTGATCCATTGGGTTAGTTAACTCCAGTAACAATAACTGCGAAAATCTTCATTCAGAATCTGTGGAAACAACAGTTGGAGTGGGATCTTCCTTTGGAGGAAAATTTGGCTACAGAGTGGAAGCGGTTTATGCTCAGTCTTCCTGTCCTTAAGAACGCAAAAATCCCAAGATTGTTTGAAATGTCAGAAAATAGAAATGCTGCCGTCGTACACCTCAAGGTGGAGTCTATGATAACGATAATAGCGGCAAAAAGCAAGGTAAATCCAATAAAAAATAGGAAGACTCTACCCAAACTGGAAATGTGCACATCTCTTGTCCAAACTATTGCAAAAAATTAAAGGAGTTTTGCAGAGTCAACCTGAGTCAACCCTTTCAGCATTGCGGCGTGGATTATGCAGGTCCGATCCAGATAAAGTGCTCCAAAACAAGAGGAACAAGATCCATGAAAGGATACATAGCTGTGTTTGTCTGTATGGCAACTAAAGCGGTCCACTTAGAGGCCGTCAGTGAACTTACAACAGATGCATTTTTGGCAGCTCTAAGACGAATGTTTGCAAGAAGAGGCAAATCAACCGACATATATTCGGACAACGGGACGAACTTCGTAGGCCAGCAAGGCAGTTGGATAAAGATTATATAGAGAACATTAGGAACAAAATAAAATGACACTTCTTTCCCCCCGCAGCTCCTCAAATCAGAGAAATTTAGGAAGCAGCTGTAAAATCGACGAAATATCATCTTAAAAGGATAATGGGTGATACGAAGCTTACATATGAAGAAGTTAGCAAAGTTCTGGCTCAGATTGAAGCAGTTTTGAACTCAAGTCCGCTGCACGAACTAGGTAGCAGCACGGGGAATATAAACATTCTGACACCAGGGCATTTTATAATTGGTCGTCCGTTGTTAGAAGCTCCGGTAAAATTTGACGAAGGAAAAAGGGGTGCGTCAACAGGTTGAAACTGCTGCAACGTATAAAAATGATTTTTGGAAGAAGTGGAAGGAGAAGTACTTGACGTCATTGCAGAACCGTACCAAGTGGATAAAGAAAAATAGAAATCTCGAAGTGGGAGAGGTGGTAAAAATAAAAAACGAGATCCAGCTCGTTGGCCATTGGCGAAAGTGATGGAGGTCCATCCGGGCAAAGACGGAATTGTGCGAGTAGTCACATTAAAAACACAAGATAAAGTTTTAAAAAGACCGGTAAACAACCGAGGAGGTTAACTCGCACTTTTCGGATCTCAAGAGCAAGATTCTGAATATAAGCGGCACAGTGAACGAGCATTACTTCGTGTATAGAGAATCTATAAGATTTTTAATAATAACCAAACAGATCCATGAGCTAGTTGAGGAATGTGACGAAGTGCAAAGAGAAATAATAGATGCGTTTATTGATGTGAATAGTGGGAAATTCCATCCCGTGCTCATATCCCCCTCACAATTGCAAATGGAAATATTAAAAATACAAGAGAGCCTTCCTGAAAAGTATGTGCTACCAGGCAAACGCAACAGAATGGAATTAAACTAGACCTTGCACTCAATGACGGGCCACGGTACGTTTGTGGGATCGCAATTGGTTCTGGACATAAAGATTCCGCTATTCAACCGACAATCATCCCAATTCTACAAAATTATTCCATTACATTTCAAGAGGGACATACAGTGATGATAGCCCGTGTGAAAGCCCCGTATATTGTGTATAATTTCGAAATAGATGCTTTCAATTTCCTAAACCAGGCAATGCTATATGAATACAAAAAGACGTTGGCAATGAAATAATGTGCGAAAGTAATTTTCCTTGGAGAGATGCGTCCATTAATAATTGTGAATTATCGCCACTGAGACCTCATATCAACATAAACTGCGCTTACGATGAAGTAGAAAGCATGCCTTATTGGATACCGTTAATGCAAAGTAGGAATTGGCTGTTTAAAACATTTTCAACTACAACAACCCATCTTAAATGCTCTCATACAAAGCAAACAATAATGAAACTACCGCAGCAAGGAATTTTCTCGTTGGATGCAGATTGTACAGCGAGAATTGGAAAAGTTACGTTGGCGGCTGCACATCGAGAATGCAACAATATAACGTAAGAGTATCATACAGTTCTATTGAAGAATGTAAGCCTGACCGAAAAAGAAGCTAATAAATCCCCGTGAATCGTGTTAATTAATCATAATCAAGAAATAGCTGAGCTGAAGAAGATTGTTGCAGATTTAAAGAACGAAAATGTGGAATTGAGAGGATTGAAATTTCATAATATTTCGGCACATGTATCATTCACATTGGTTGTTGTAGTTATTATAATTTTAATTATATTACTTATAAGAAGAGTAATAAAAACTGAGCGCACAGCAGCTATCAAATTTCCTTGGGTCCAAGAGATATAAATAAATTATTTGCCGCCCGGGAGTATGTTCATATGAGCAGAATTAGTGTAATCTTCCTATATGGATTGCTATTGATTTAGAATAATATAGAATCCTGTATGTTTATGACAAATGTTTATGTTCAGCGATAAGATGTGTTTTAGGAAAAGTGTTTATGTGTAATGATAAGTGCTTGAGAAATGTATGACCAAGCGTTAATGCATTGTAAAGTATGGGAAAATCCGAAAGGCTATAAAATCTTTGTGTGAGCGCTGATAATAAAGAATTTGAAAATGTCCACACACAAAGATAGCAATGCAGTCACTAGGTAGCATAAAGAAATGCCACCTCCTGCGTTGGGACAAAACAACCCCTTGTGTGCATTGATGATATGCATTATTATAACTGGAGTAAGCTAAGTTAGATTAGTCCAAGATATAAAAATTGTGAAATAAAATCAGAATCTAAA